TGAATGCGGGGGGTCCGGGGAGAGCGGATATAGTGAATGCGGGGGTCCGGGGAGAGCGGGATATAGTGAATGCGGGGTCCGGGGAGAGCGGATATAGTGAATGCAGGGTCCGGGGGGGAGAGCGGGATATAGTGAATGCGGGGTCCGGGGAGAGCGGATATAGTGAATGCGGGGTCCGGGGAGAGCGGATATAGTGAATGCAGGGTCCGGGGGAGAGCGGATATAGTGAATGCGGGGTCCGGGGAGAGCGGATATAGTGAATGCGGGGTCCGGGGGAGAGCGGATATAGTGAATGCGGGGTCCGGGGAGAGCGGATATAGTGAATGCGGGGGTCCGGGGGAGAGCGGATATAGTGAATGCGGGGTCCGGGGAGAGAGATATAGTGAATGCAGGGTCCGGGGAGAGCGGATATAGTGAATGCAGGGGTCCGGGGAGAGCGGATATAGTGAATGCGGGGTCCGGGGGAGAGCGGATATAGTGAATGCGGGGTCCGGGGGAGAGCGGGATATAGTGAATGCGGGGTCCGGGGAGAGTGGATATAGTGAATGCGGGGTCCGGGGAGAGCGGATATAGTGAATGCGGGGTCCGGGGAGAGAGCGGGATATAGTGAATGCGGGGTCCGGGGGGGAGAGCGGATATAGTGAATGCGGGGTCGGGGGAGAGCGGATATAGTGAATGCGGGGTCCGGGGGGGGAGAGCGGATATAGTGAATGCGGGGGGGTCCGGGGAGAGCGGATATAGTGAATGCGGGGTCCGGGGAGAGCGGATATAGTGAATGCGGGGTCCGGGGAGAGAGGATATAGTGAATGCGGGGTCCGGGGAGAGCAGATATAGTGAATGCGGGGGTCCGGTTAGTGGGTAGCGGAATCCGGGGAATGCGGGGCGGATATAGTGAATGCGGGGTCCGGGGGAGAGCGGATATAGTGAATGCGGGGTCCGGGGGAGAGCGGATATAGTGAATGCGGGGTCCGGGGGAGAGCGGATATAGTGAATGCGGGGTCCGGGGAGAGCGGATATAGTGAATGCAGGGTCCGGGGGGAGAGCGGATATAGTGAATGCGGGGGGTCCGGGGGAGAGCGGATATATAGTGAATGCGGGGTCCCGGGGGAGAGCGGATATAGTGAATGCGGGGTCCGGGGAGAGCGGATATAGTGAATGCGGGGTCCGGGGAGAGCGGATATAGTGAATGCGGGGTCCGGGGAGAGCGGATATAGTGAATGCGGGGTCCAGGGAGAGCGGATATAGTGAATGCAGGGTCCGGGGAGAGCGGATATATAGTGAATGCGGGGGTCCGGGGAGAGCGGATATAGTGAATGCGGGGGGTCCGGGGAGAGTGAGAAATAGTGAATGCGGGGTCCGGGGAGAGCGGATATAGTGAATGCGGGGTCCGGGGAGAGCGGATATAGTGAATGCGGGGTCCGGGGAGAGCGGATATAGTGAATGCGGGGTCCGGGGAGAGCGGATATAGTGAATGCGGGGTCCGGGGAGAGCGGATATAGTGAATGCGGGGTCCGGGGAGAGCGGATATAGTGAATGCAGGGGTCCGGGGGGAGACCGGATATAGTGAATGGGGGGTCCGGGGGAGAGCGGATATAGTGAATGCGGGGTTCCGGGGAGAGAGCAGATATAGTGAATGCAGGGTCCGGGGAGAGTGGATATAGTGAATGCGGGGTCCGGGGAGAGCGGATATAGTGAATGCAGGGTCCGGGGAGAGAGCGGATATAGTGAATGCAGGGGGGTCCGGGGGAGAGCGGATATAGTGAATGCGGGGTCCGGGGGAGAGCGGATATAGTGAATGCGGGGTCCGGGGAGAGCGGATATAGTGAATGCGGGGTCCGGGGAGAGCGGATATAGTGAATGCAGGGGTCCGGGGAGAGCGGATATAGTGAATGCGGGGGTCCGGGGAGAGCGGATATAGTGAATGCGGGGTCCGGGGAGAGGGAGAGCGGATATAGTGAATGCGGGGTCCGGGGGAGAGCGGATATAGTGAATGCGGGGTCCGGGGGGGAGAGATCAGATATAGTGAATGCGGGGTCCGGGGAGAGCGGATATAGTGAATGCGGGGTACGGGGAGAGCGGATATAGTGAATGCGGGGTCCGGGGGAGCGGATATAGTGAATGCAGGGGGTCCGGGGAGAGCGGATATAGTGAATGCGGGGGTCGGATATAGGAATGCGGGGGGGGAGAGCGGATATAGTGAATGCGGGGTACGGGGGAGAGCGGATATAGTGAATGCGGGGTCGGGGGAGAGCGGATATAGTGAATGCGGGGTTCGGGGAGAGCGGATATAGTGAATGCGGGGTCCGGGGAGAGCGGATATAGTGAATGCAGGGTCCAGGGGGAGAGAGGCGGATATAGTGAATGCGGGGTTCGGGGAGAGCAGATATAGTGAATGCGGGGTCTGGGGAGAGCGGATATAGTGAATGCAGGGTTCCGGGGAGAGCAGGATATAGTGAATGCGGGGTCGGGGGGAGAGCGGATATAGTGAATGCGGGGGGGTCCGGGGAGAGCGGATATAGTGAATGCGGGGTCCGGGGAGAGCGGATATAGTGAATGCGGGGTCGGGGGAGAGCGGATATAGTGAATGCGGGGTCAGGGGGAGAGCGGATATAGTGAATGCGGGGGGTCGGGGAGAGCGGATATAGTGAATGCGGGGTCCGGGGGAGAGCGGATATAGTGAATGCAGGGTCCGGGGGAGAGTGGATATAGTGAATGCGGGGTCAGGGTCCGGGAGAGCGGATATAGTGAATGCGGGGTCCGGAGAGAGCGGATATAGAGTGCAGGGTTCAGGGAGAGCAGATACAGTGAATGCAGGGTCCGGGGAGAGTGGATATAGTGAATGCAGGGTCCGGGGAGAGCGGATATAGTGAATGCGGGGTCCGGGGAGAGAGGATATAGTGAATGCGGGGGTCCGGGGAGAGCGGATATAGTGAATGCTGGGTCCGGGGCGAGCGGATATAGTGAATGCGGGGTCCGGGGAGAGCGGATATAGTGAATGCAGGGTCCGAGGGAGAGCGGATATAGTGAATGAATGCAGGGTCCGAGGGAGAGCGGATATAGTGAATGCAGGGTCCGGGGAGAGATCAGATATATAGTGAATGCGGGGTCCGGGGAGAGCGGATATAGTGAATGCGGGGTCTGGGGAGAGCGGATATAGTGAATGCGGGTTCAGGGAGAGCAGATACAGTGAATGCAGGGTCCGGGGAGAGTGGATATAGTGAAATGCGGGGTCAGGGGAGAGCGGATATAGTGAATGCGGGGTCCGGAGAGAGCGGATATAGTGAGTGCAGGGTTCAGGGGTTTCCGGGGAGAGCAGATACAGTGAATGCAGGGTCCGGGGAGAGTGGATATAGTGAATGCAGGGTCGGGAGGGAGAGCGGATATAGTGAATGCGGGGTCCGGGGAGAGCGGATATACAGTGAATGCAGGGTCCGAGGAGAGCGGATATAGTTAATGCAGGGTCCGAGGAGAGCGGATATAGTGAATGCAGGGTCCGGGGAGATCAGATATAGTGAATGCGGGGTCCGGGGAGAGCGGATATAGTGAATGCGGGGTCCGGGGGAGAGCGGATATAGTGAATGCAGGGTCCGGGGAGAGCGGATATAGTGAATGCGGGGTCCGGGGAGAGCGGATATAGTGAATGCAGGGTCCAGGGACAGCGGATATAGTGAATGCAGGGTCCGGGGAGACAGGATATAGTGAATGCGGGGTCCGGGGTGAGTGGATATAGTGAATGCGGGGTCCGGGGAGAGTGGATATAGTGAATGCAGGGTCCGTATGGTGACGGTTTTTTTGACATGCACCTCCAGAACATGAGTGCATTTCGTATGTTTTATTGCTTAATAAAAGTTTAAAAGGATAAAGCGCTGTGTTGAGATCTTTTTAATGAGGAATATGGCTGACACCAAGACGTTTATCAGGAGGGAGCTCACTTTGGAGTCCTCATTGAAGAAGCTGATCTTCTGAGTCCAAATGGGACCAAAAGTTCAGTTAGACCGTAACATTGTACAATGTGAGGTCACACTGTGTGAGGTGCAGATTCATGGTGGAGGATGTATTCTCCCTGGAATCTGTGACAGCTGCACATACTTTTCGTTATCCACAGGAGGGTTCACAGAAGAACACTATTTTGATTGGACTTGAGTTTATAATGACTTTTTGGTTGATTCAATAATTATTTCTTGTTTTTGTGATTTTTGGTTTTCGTATTATATTCTAAATGTTCACATTTCTTGATTTATAGGCATTGTGCAATGTTGATGTGGCACAGCATTTTTTTCTTCACCTTTTATTCTTCTTATTATTTGCCCCATATAGACATGGCTTGTGTGCACGGCTACAGTATTCATATGTTACTGATATTTATATTTTTGTTTTTTATTCACCATAGTAAGCGCTTGAGATATTTAATTTATATTGGTGCTTACACCTATGAATAGGCTACTACGCAGTTGTTTGGGCAACTATGCCTCTCTATGGACTATTACGTCTCAGTTATGGGCTACCAAATGTTTGTATCAGGGATTGTAGCTCTTGTATGACTGCGCCCTTGGGAGGGCTCCAACACCACTGTATGGACTCCTGCACCTCTAAGTGTGACTACAGCTTTCTAGGGGAACTCTACCTTTGTATGGGCTTCTATACCTCTGTACAGGTAACTACACATCTTTAGGGTGACTATACCCTCAAATCAGGGGCGGACTGACAACTCATGGGGCCCCCGGGCAATAGGGGATCATGGGGCCCCTGTGTCCTTGCCCAAACTCATAAAAGCCTATGAATAAGGTACCAGGGGCATCTCATGGGGCCCCCTACTGACCCCGGGCCCTCGGGCACTGCCCGAGTTTTCAAATGGTCAGTCTGCCCCTGCCTCAAATCATTTTTCTTTGCACCACCTTGTTTAATAAATCCTGATGTGCACTTTAGCAAGATCAGCTTGCCTTGCTTTCCTGAAAAGTGTAAGACCACGGAGGACACGGAGGAGCCACAATGTAAGAGGTCTAGAAATAAAGTTCCTTGGTTAACATAGAGACCATACAGGGAATCTGCTTCTGGCCAAACTTCCCCTCGTATTTGGTGGCCACCAGGTTGTTGACCCGAAGCAGGATATGATTCATCTCCAGCTGCTTCCCATATTGGTTAAGAACATCACAGAGGGCCTGTATGAACCACCTGCCCTCGTCTGTATTCCTCCAGCAAACGTAGCCTATGCAGAAAGACACAGGAGCGTATTACAATGCTTGCCATTTCAATGGCGGACAAGCCTTTAAAGTGAACCTTCCTATTCCTCTAAAGAGTGGTACCTAGCAGCGGTTCATAATTCACACCACCACTTCTTTCACCAAAATGTACATCTAAGCAGACCTATAGTGTACCCAAAACAAAAAAAAAGTTTTGGCTTTAGATGGAGTGATTAAAACCCCGGTCAGTGTATCCAATTGGAGAAATTTCCCTTCACATTCTCTTACAGTGACTGTAGAGGTTGCTACTCAACACCTCTCAAAGTGTATGTGGGGGGGGGGGGGGGGATTCTCCTTTTGGACAGGTGACACTGGAACAGTCCTTTTGTTCCATGGAACAATTTCCCATCCATTCCAATTCTTGTGACAACTGTAAAATTGTGGATTATATATATGGATGATATTGTTTAAAAGGAATTGGAGCAAAATTTTTTACTTATAATATAGATTTGACTAGCAGTAAGGCAAATAGCATGTTGCATAAAACCTGCAGCTACAACCATTTTATGCTCCAGAGTCTCTGTTTTCAGAAGAGATTTAATATTTTGAGGTTAAACCACTTCACCTCCCACACCTGTTCACCTCCAATGGACGACCAGAGCAATTTTTACATCTTTTAGAGAAGTGTTCATTTTAATATAAATAGTGTTGCTGCACATTTTATTCCGGAATTTGTCCTGTTTAAATTATGATTATTGTATAAAGCAATGCAAAAGGTATGTACACCTAAAATGTTTTATTTTTTTTTTATTTTGTGCTTTAAAAAAAAAAAAAAGGGAAATGTGTAAAAATAACAAAAAACAGTTTAAATATTAATAGTTAGAATAGAAAAAAATAATCAGCAGGAAAATAATAGTTGAAGAGAGAAGAATAAAGAGTTAATTAGGCTGATTAAAGTAAGCTAAGGGTTAATAAAGGGTGAAGCAGAGGAGCATTTTAACTTTTTTTTTTACTTTGCTTTAAATGACATCATCTGCAGATCGAAGTTCATCCCTTTGACCTGCTGATGTATGAACAGAAAGATCCAAAAAAGTAACAATGTTACATTGCATCTTTTCAGATTTCACATCTGTGTAAGCGTTATTTATAAACACAGATTCACAGATGCTTTTTTTAAACCCCGCTTCACACTGGTGCTACTTGGCATGTTACTAATGACATGCAGAGTCGCACGACAAGTGAAAACACATTCATTTCAATGGCAGCTGTTCCAATCGACTTTTTAAAAGATTCCTGCACCAACTTGATGCCACTTGAATGCAACTTAAGAGTCCCTTGGACTAATATTGTATGAAAGTGGCAAGAAAGTTGCACTGGCAATTGCAAGAAAAAAGGGGTTCTCGGAAGTAGAAATGAGGCTGACAGCTGAAGCTGCCGACACCTTCTTATACAACCGTCCCAGCTTTGTATAATCAAAGCTGACAAATACCGAATGCTGGGAATGGGGTCCCAGAAGCAGGGCAGAGAGACTGGACATGCTACACACGTCCGGTGTACAATGAGGAGTTTTATTTTGGGCACCAAAAGTCTGGAACTTGTTAATGTACATTTTAGTATGTGTGCGCAAAATGAAAAATATTAGCTTCAGCAGTGAAAGGGTTACGTAAGCCCCGCTTTTCAAAAAAGATCTAAGAAAGACCCATTTTAAAGCAGAATTCCAGGTTTACTTTGACTTTAGTTAGATTGGGTCAAGTTGGCCAAAACAATTTCCATCACTAACGGATGCAGCCGCTCTGTACTATACTGTTGTAGGATCAGCTACATACAGCGAGTGGCGCTGTGCTCCAGCAGTAACTTGGGTGACTTCCTGTCTGCTGCTGGAATTAGACAGATGGTCTGACGGTTCCTCAACCATCCAGGACTCTCCACCATACAAAACTGATTTACTTAGGTGGAGAGGCAGGTGGCTCGGGGGGGGGGTCACCATTTCCAACTCTGCCTATTACAGAAAGTCTTTGTCAGGAATCCCAGAGATCACCATGGCGCACGAATCTGCACAGTCGTAGGATCCCAACAAGACATACAGGCAGGCGTGTACTAGGACCCAGGCGCGCCTGTCACCAATGACGGTCGGGCAGGCACTAGGACCCATGCGCGCCTGTCGGCGCCGGGCTATTTAAACCAGCTCGTGCAATGCTCACATTGCCGTATGGTCTTCATTCCCTGTTCCCTGCTCATCTGTTCCTGCGTGAGATACCTTGTTGCCGACCCTGCTTGATCCTGACCTCTGCTGACCATCTCCTGCTTTGATCCCTGGCTCGTCTGACTATTCCTTTGCTTACTCCTGATTACCTGACCTCCTGTTGCTGAAACCTGGCTTGTGACCCGACTACTCTCTGTCTGCTGCTCTGTACCGTTCTGCCTCTGCTGTTACCGACCCGGCCTGACTACGCTACACGTACTCTGTCATCCATCCATCCTGCACGGATCCGGTCACCACTGCCCAGGTCTGCCAGCCTCTTCACATCAGGCTCTCTTCCGATACATACCTCTGGCGGTTCCCTCTACCACAGTCGGGTGCACTCAGGGGTTGCGACCTGGTCTCAGTCTGCTCCAAGTCCATCCCCACCATCAGGGGCTCTGATGAATAAACAGACTGGGGCTTAGACCCCGCGCCCTGGGGAATCCCGTTCTGTGGGTTGCTCGAGATACTGCCGGGTGGTTCATGACAGTCTTTTATTGAATGATAAAAGTAGAAGACATCTCCTGAATGGTGGAGAAACACTGAGGTTGACTCAATTTAGTTGTGGTAGCAGATGGCCAGTTACCTGCACTGCTGCTTAAGGTTTGTAGCTGTTGGCACTACTCTCTAGTACAGCACACACAGCGGCCTCATCATTCTGTAATGGAAATTGTTCACTTGGGCCAGTATGACTAAATTCAAAGTAAACCTGGAATTCTACTATAAGTATCTTTGTCGTATTAGAGGACTCTACCTGGTACGGTGGAGTAGAAACAAAGGAAGTCCGCCTCCACTGGGATCCTGTCTCCAGAATGGGCATCCACTTCCAGGGAGCTGTTGGCTGGTCCATCGTCTGTCTGCACCCCCTTGTCATGCTTTGGGCCTTGGCAAGCCTGAAATAGACATTCAATTCATGACATTAATTTGCAGCTTCTCCTGTGGATTACAGGACTGCTTTCTCGTACTGTTGGCTAGTGTCGATTGACTAGTCCAAGCTGGGGAAAGATCCTGACTTTCAAGTCGTGATCCACTCAGTTGCTTGGACCAGTAGATGGCTCACTCAACCTCTCAGCAAGATGCTGAGCCAGATGCTCCTGCCTCTCCACAGCCTGCAACTCCAGTCAGCACTGGTTAGGGCAAAACAAAACAACAGTCACTGACAGACTGTTCACAGAACACTGAGAACTGATCGATCAACGATCTTTGATCGATCATTTCTCAGTCTTGGAGATTGCAGGGGACAGATGCTGCATCCACCTAGGTGAGTAAAATAAAAAGCCAAAAGCCACACTTCTCTTTTATTTGTATTGGATGCGGAAGGCAGTGAATTCTGGCAGGAGATTGGGAATTCATGGGCCCCTGGCAATGAAAATCAAAGTAACACCAAATCCAAAATTACTTCCTTTTCCCTTCCTCCACCGACACTGGCACAACATGCAATGTCTTAGGGAATATGTAGTGCCCTCTAGGTAGATAGGCTTTGTTGTTTTTTTAGTTAGAGGCTGGGTAACAGCCTAGGATGAGTCGAACTGAGAGTGAGGTAGTGAGGTCACCTCAGGACAGGCTGGGAGGCTCTAACAGGTCAGGGCTTCTGGTGCCCTCCCACCTTTCCAAAAGCTTAGAAAACTGTCTGAAACAGGGGTGGAGGCCCAGATCTGCATGTTTAGGGGACTTTGGTCAAACCCTTGGGAACAGGTCGGGCATGGTGACCAAGGGCGACATATAAATGTGGCAGAGCCTGTGCAGCAAGGCAGTGTTGGGTGAAAGACAGACTGAGAGAAAGGCTGGAGTGTGGAACCTGGGAGGGAGCCCCAGGGAGGGGAGCCAAGCTACAGGCTGGCTGCTGGAGCAGAAGGGTCTCCACTGTCCCACTGTCTCCTAGGGTGGATGACCTGTATGTCGGGAAGAAGCCAGCCCAGCAAAAAGGCCTGAAAGCAGTTTTAACCCAGCAGGCAAACAGGACTGGACAGTGTGAGGACTTCTACACCCCCTACAGTTCCTTGGGCATCCCATATACCCTTAGATCCCATCCAAGTTGTTAACTCCTTAGTAAAATAGTCCTTGAGCTGGTTTTAGTTTTTCAATTGACTGTGCAAGTGGAAATGTGAAGAAAATGCGAATTGCCTGGCCATGCATAGCTTAGGGGGGCCCAAATCTCAGCGACTCCTATGGGGATAGTGCTACACATATCGAAAGCCCAAATTGTTTTTGGATGGAGGGAGGAATAGAGGGGAAATCTTCCAAGAAGGACTCTTGTTCTGGTGCCAACGGTTCTCTCCACTTTGAAAAGATTTACTCCCACTTCCTGTTGTGTCTCTGGGACAGGAAGTGAATAAAACAAGGATCTTAACTCTGTCCTACTCTATCCATGACACTGCACTTGATCGAATGACAATATGAAAAAAAAAAAAAAATTGTGACACTGTACACAACATCTATATGACATGAATGACAGCACAAGACAAGCAAACAGGAGGATGCACCCTCACATCCTCCCAGAATGATGCTTGTCCCACCTAGCCAGTTATCTACAGTGGCGGAAAGAAGGTAACATTCTAGCAAGAAATCACTAAGATATATATATCAGCTCAGTGCACATCTTACCTGGATAAAGAAGAGTTTTGGTTTCCCGACCAGACTTTCACATTTATCTCCTCGGAAAAGTGTTGTCAGAGTTTTTATAGGTATCAGCCCATCTTTGCCGTAGATCTGACCCTCCTCACCGTGGCTCAGGAGGATGCAGGCAAAGCAAGCGCTGTCCCGGTGGTTGGAGTCCGCCTCTAACAAGAGAAAGGACAACATCTGTTAATTCTTCCATCGTTTCTGGTCCTCCGCCACAATGTATACTGAAGAGGAACTGCAACACGTTACTACAAGCTCACTCTGAGTTGTTGTCATATTTACCTAAAAGTCACTTTTCCTGGCAATGTTACAGGTTTTCTGTTCCAGATTTGATTTTTGGGTTAGAGTAGAGATTTCCTGAATTTAAAATATTGGCACACAGATAAGATCATTTATTTACTTTCCAGGTTGGTCTGAATTAACATTAAATATACAGTATGTGAGTCCCACACCTCCTCCGCATTGACACTGCCTGGACACTGCCTGGACACAGTACTGAAACAAAGATGCAGAACACGGGACTTTTGGTGCGCTTTCACAATAATCAGGAAAAAAAATGCACAACCTAAAAGAAATCAAAAGCAGCTATACCTGTGGGTAAAATACAAGAAACCCATTACATTACACAGCCCCTGCTCCTCTGGACCCCTTTACATTCTACAGCCCCTGCTCCTCTGGACCCCTTTACATTCTACAGCCCCTGCTCCTCTGGACCCCTTTACATTCTACAGCCCCTGCTCCCTGGACCCCTTTACATTCTACAACCCCTGCTCCTCTGGACCCCTTTACATTCTACAGCCCCTGCTCCTCTGGACCCCTTTACATTACACAGCCCCTGCTCCTCTGGACCCCTTTACATTCTACAGCCCCTGCTCCTCTGGACCCTGTTACACTACACAGCCCCTGCTCCTCTGGACCCCTTTACATTCTACAGCCTCTGCTCCTCTGGACCCTGTTACATTACACAGCCCCCTACACATTACACAGCCCCTGCACCTCTGGACCCCTTTACATTACACAGCCCCTGCACCTTTGGACCCCTTTACATTACACAGCCCCCTGCACCTTTGGACCCCTTTACATTTAACAGCGCCCTGCACCTTTGGACCCCTTTACATTACACAGCCCCCTGCACCTTTGGACCCCTTTACATTACACAGCCCCTGCACCTTTGGACCCCTTTACATTACACAGCCCCCTGCACCTTTGGACCCCTTTACATTACACAGCCCCCTGCATCTCTGAACCAATTTACATTACACAGCCCCTGCACCTTTGGACCCCTTTACATTACACAGCCCCTGCACCTTTGGACCCCTTTACATTACACAGCCATTCCACATCTGCACAGAGGAGCACAGGTCCTGGTGTGGGAGGTCTGCCCTCCTCTCTGCTGCCACCGATGGCTGAAAAAAGTTGGGGGTGGAGACCAGGAAGAGTCCTGCAACTGCAGGAGAGGTGTGAGAGCCATATGAAATGGCCTGGTGGGCTAGATTTGGCCCCCGGGCCTTGTGTTTGACACTTGTGTTGTATAGGGAGACACTATCTATATGAAGCTTCTTTGACCTTTTACAGCATGATAAAATAAAGTAATACACTCTATGTAGTTTGTTTTTTACTAGTAGATTTTTGTATTACCTAGTACAGCACAAATCCTAAACACACCACTCGCCACATCCCAAATATGGACAATTGAAGAACTAGCAGAAAAAGGGAGGAATTTTTAACATCACCCAAAATATCTAAAGAAAAACAAAAAAGTTGAAAAGTTTTTTGCAATGGATTCTAAAACAACCACCATGAAAATTTGGTCCATAATAATACATAGAAACCACCATGAAGAATATGAACACTGCTCTTTGCCCTGGCTATAGAGCCTCTGGCCCTCTTAATCAGAGCTAACCCGAATATCAGGGGACTCGAGATAGGGGGCACGCATCATAAGTTATGTCTCTTTGCGGATGACGTCTTACTCTTTCTCACATCTCCATTGACATCCTCTCCTTCCCTACTCCGGCTTCTCGAGGCGTTTGGCTCGCTCTCTGGTTTAAAAATAAACCCTAATAAATCGACAGCACTCAACATCTCTCTCCCCCCTTTAGAGTTGACGCATCTAAAGCAGGTTTTACCATTCCCTTGGTCACAGTGTCATATCCCTCTTTTGGGAATCAAACTGACCCCTAAGTTATCAGACCTTTACGCAGCTAACTATCTTCCGATGCTAAACCATCTTTCTGCCCTTTTGACCAAATGGTCTTCCCTTCCCCTCGCATGGCTAGGCAGAATAGCAGTTATCAAGATGTCAATCCTCCCAAAAATTCTATATCTATTTAGAGTCCTTCCAGTCCCAGTCCCCCCTCACTACCTCCGCACACTGCAGCGTCGCATTTGTTCCTATGTATGGGGCAATACTCGCCCTCGTATACCTCGCTCCACCCTATACCGCCCTAAGCTCAATGGTGGTCTAGGCCTACCTGACATCAGCAAATACTATCAAGCAGCGCATTTAGCCCAATTACCTAAATATCATGCAACCTTTGAAATCCCTCAATGGGTTGCTCTTGAATCGATAGAATGTGACCCCTTATCCACAGCTAACCTACTCTGGTTGAGGCCCATAGACCGCCGTTCTATAACCAACCCCATCACTTCTCACTTTTTATCCTTATGGGATAAACTGAAAACCCGATATCTCCTCCAATCACTACATAATCCCTTGCTCTCTTTTCTACGAAAACCGGCTTTTCCCCCGGCCTGGCAGACACCCCTTTTGTTCAAAGCCTGGTCATCTGCTAATTTGCTCCGCACGCATCATTTCCTACAGAGGAATAAGTTTAAATCCTTTGCCTCGCTGCGGGAAACACATGGCCTCCCAGCCTCCGAGATATTTAGATACTTGCAGCTACAACACTTTTACGCCCCCTACGCTACAACAACCAATCGGCCAGACGCCATGTCTCTCTTTGAACGAGCGTGCTACAAAGACCCTCATAGACGTGGGCTTATCTCCTGCTTATATTCACTCTTCACTACTTCGATTACCACGTCCCCCCCTTGGTATACTCATAAGTGGGAAGTGGATTTAGGTAAGAAACTCGACCCGTCTGATTGGGATCACATTTGGGCCAACACAAAATCATCTTCGCAGAACATTGTAGCTTTGGAAACAAATTATAAAGTTTTACCCCGCTGGTACTTGGTCCCAGCGAGAATCGCAAAATTTACCCCTAATTACTCGCCCAACTGTTTTAGAGGCTGTACGGATTCAGGAACACACTTTCATATGTGGTGTGAATGCCCAGTGGCACGAGTCTTTTGGGATGAAATTTTCACCATGATATCTACACTTAGCACTATCACTCTACGACCCGACCCAACAACAGCCCTACTCAATCAGTGCCCCCCTGGCGTCTCCAAATCGCAATTCAAGCTCCTTATGCAAGTTACGACAGCGGCTAAGCAGGTTATAGCGAAATCCTGGAAATCCCCCACCCTAAGTGTCGCGGCTGTCAAAACCAGAATAACACAAGCCATGATACATGCAAAGGTGGAAGCCACAATTCTAGACAAGATTCCTAAATTCTTGCGCATATGGAGCCCCTGGGTAGAGCGCTTCCTCCCGCCTAACTTTGATGAATCACTCCTTCTCCCTTGATTTGTATACTGTGCGCCCAGGATATTGTCAATAGCCCTTTGCAGGCAACACGTGGGGTCTGCTGTAAATTTGATGAATGCTCATGGAGTCATCGTTGTTGTTCCTCTTCCCCTTCTATCCCTTCCACCCCCGTCTGACCCCCATCCAAACTTCCCCTTATTTCTTTAATGCACTTGGGAGACACATTTCTGATTGGCTAGGACAATAATGTCATCTGTTGTCAACTCTTATTTACCTGTTTCCGCTAGAAAAGTATAGACTTTTGTAATGTGATCCTCATCCATTTTTTTCTATGTCCTGCTGCCACCTCAATGTCCAATGTACATTACCGAATTCTCCTTGTTTGTGTTATTATGTTTTTTTGTTAATAAAAATGTTTGAACAAGAATATGAACACAATGTAATAATATGTGAAATACACAATACATGTACTGTACAATTGTCAACAACTTACAGGACCAGAGTCACAAAATGATCATATTTTTGAGGGGTGAGGGTTCACCCAAACACAACAGGGTTCCGGCTATCTGACTACAAAGGATTCCACAGAATTTCTAACTAGACAGAAAAAATACATAAATAAAGCACTTAGAAAAGGGAAAAAAAGGTAATGAAAAAAATTGTAAAATATAAATACCTAATAGACCAGGTTTCTAAGTCAGGGTTCCATGGAACCCTAGGGTACCTCCAGAGGTTGCCAGGGTTCCTTGAGGAATGAGCAATTTCTGCCTCCCAGATAGGTTCCCACTGACACCATTGATCTTTTTATCAATCTGTAAGGGGTTTAATTCCTCCCAACGACCACAAATGTAAACAGCATTGTTCCCACTGACCATCACACTAATGTATCAGCAGTTGTAGATAGGATATTTTTAGCAAGGGTTCCCTTAGACCAGAAAGATATTTTACGAGTTCCTCTGTGTTGAAAAGGTTGAGAAAGGCTGTAATAGACTATATAAAAAAGAAAAAAAATCAGCTTCAGGGACCACTCAGGGTAGGTAGCAGAGATATTCAACAATAACACATTGAACGATGCAAAGAACAAGGCTGTTGATGATCTTCAGGATGTAAATCAATAGAAACTAAAATAAAGATCCTCACCTGAAAGCTACAATAAATGATTAAAGTGTCACTAAACCCACAACAGTACAATCAGTCTGTAGATGCAGTAAAGCATGCTTGTTATACTCACTGTGGAACCTAAGGGGTTAATCTTCTGCATTGTGTAAAAAGGATGTTTGATCCTGACTTCTCTGATCCCTCCCCTTCTTCTACTATCCCCAATCCATCTGCCTTGGGGGCAGGATGCATATGCTCAGTTTGATGTGTTTTGCTAGAGAGTTTTTTTTTTTGTTTTGGAAGAGTGCATGTGATCAGCACAGAGCCAATCAGCACCGTCTAGACAGAGGGTCAGGGGTCCTGCAGCCTCACAGGACAATTAGAGGAGAATGAAAACTCCTCCTGAAAGCTTTAACCAGTGCTCTTCTGGACACTGATAGAAGT